ATATATATTACTTATTTATTTATTTATATATATGTATGTACGTATATATGCAATATAATTTCTATATTCATGAATACACTTATTATGAACAAAGGGCACACTTCGCCACGGTTTAGGAGATGGCAGTGATACTGTCTGATACTCGATAGCATCACCATCATTGAACTTTAATAAGACACGAATTCGTTTACTTTCTATCATCAAGTAACGCTATCGATAGAAACAATTATTAACTTTCCGAAAATTATACTACTCCCGTACAATTTGCTATTAACAAGAATAACAAGTGTCTGTACAATTAATGCTAATAGAGCTACATACACCAGGTACGCAAATAGACAAGATATTTTTTTTTTTTTTAAATTTAGAGAAACATTAGGACGAAGCACTTGAATCATTGTGGTGTTCCTGCGTAGTCGTTTCTATCTGTGACAAAGTTCTTTGCAATTCCGTACGTTCTGCTGGCTGTAATCTATGTGCAATTTCTAAAATTGCATTTAATCTTACTTCTGGACAAGCTTCAAGGGCTTCCTTGATTCGAGAAACGACTGCGTCTTGTTTTACACACGTAATGTTACGTGAAACAACACTGTTCTCGTCTTTACGTTGATTCTCTAACCAATTTGTTGCAGCTTCATCTTGATCCCACAAATAAGATTCTGTGGCACCTTTGTCTTCTATGAACCATCTACGCAACATTGCACTGATTTGTCTAACATCTAGAGTGTGTTGAGTTGAAAGAATTTCGTTCTTTATTTCATCCTCCAAAAGTCTTCTTCTAAGTCGCCAATAAAGCAGTTTGCGTGCTTTTCGCCATGGAATAATATCGTGAATGGTATTTTTTTCAAACATTCTCTCCGGCGTATCGTGAAGATCCGCAAAATGTACTGCAATTTGATGATACATAGGCTCCAAAAGTTGTTCTCTCTCACGAATTTGATTTTCAATGTCTGTTCTCTCCTCGGCTGAACTTGCATTAGATAGATTTTCCTGAAATTACGATTGATATATCTACATCTGTGATCTGTTTTATTTATGAAGTAAAAAATTATTAAAAAAATAACACGATTTCTTACTTTAAGTTTCTGTATTACTGTATCAACCCTATGCATAGCTTTAAGTATGTCTTTAGCTCTAAACTTGATTTCTACTATTCCACTAGCCTCTAGAACTCCGCCTCTGCTTGTATTATCAGCAAACATTTCCATATAGCGAGGATTTATCGTCGGATCAACAACAGCCCAAGCACCACCTCTTAATTCTCCATTTGGTGGAATATATACAAATATTGGTTTGGTATATTCTCTTAATCCGTCCACGATATAAGCACCGAATTTGATGATTTGCTCGTACATATCTATCAAAGATACAGCTTGTTGATAACTTGCTCAAAATGAAATAAATAATTGTCAGAGAAATTAATCAAAAACCTTTCATTCCACCAGAGAATCCTCTCCAATTAGCAAAAATAAAAAGTGGAAGCTCTTCCTTTCCAAAATCTTTGATAGCCTGAGCAGTTTTGTACGCGCTATCTGGGAACCACACTTGTCCCGCCTGAGATATCGTTTTAGCTTCTGAATCGGGATTAGCGGGATCAGCAGGTAAATGCAACTCGACCGTTCTTGTTTCTACTGCAATAACGCCGCAAGGAATTCCACCTAATCTTGCTCTCCCAGTTACCACAGTTTGAGCCCATGGCCTCATAATTTCCTGTAAACAATAATATTGATAATGCAGAAACGCTTCGATCATTTTATTAAATTCAATCGATAAGTAATATTAATATATGTTAACGAGTTACATTAATATAATATAACTTGTTAGCATCAACACATACATTACTACTACTTATGTTAACAAGTAATATTAATATGATATATACCTGCCAAGAACCACGATCAAAGAATCCACTTTCCCAGTAGTTTGTACCATTTTGTATTCTACCTTCGAGCATGAATCTTGGATCATAGGCTGTCTTCGTAGGAACATACATGATTTCTCTGTCGATCGGATCAGGAAGCGGTGCTGATAATACAGGAAGGGGCGCTCCCTTAAACTTGGGACAGTAACTTAACCACCTTATAGCAGTGGCAACACCTTCTAGATCCCTCGCGTTAGTTGCATGTGATACCCCATTGTTATGCATGATTTGTATACCACCTAATTGATTATTACTGGCATACACTTCGCGACCTAACACAGTATTCAACGCTTTATAACCAGTTAAAATGATGTGTGAATTTTCTATCTGAATGACCCTTTGTCCAAGACGTACTAAATAAGCACCAATGCCAATGGCTCTGCAGGATACAATGGAGATTGTGACAATCTCATCGTAGGCTCTTGATGTCTCTCCGGCGATCATACCGGCGTATTTCAGATTCTCTACACCAAGACCATCGTCTTTACCGATGATGTCGGTAATTTTATAACGAGACTCTCCCTTATCTTCGATCAACGAAGTTTTCACTGAATTGAGCGGTGCTAAACGCGCGTAATCGTCTGGCGTTAGATATATATATTTAAATCCTTTTTCAGGCTCGCTCTCGTCTTCCCAGGCAATTCTGAACAACGCTTTCACTTCCTCTGCCAGACCGATACGAGCCCCGGAATTTGCGGAGAAGTATATCCGAGGAATTCCAAGCTGTCTAGCTCTTTCAGACGCTCTGCAGAATACCAAGTCTTCCTTGGGGCCGAACGAACCAATCAGATGAGTCAAATCGTTCGCAATTAGTATAATGTCCCGACCAGACACTGGATACTCTGGCGTGTAAAGCCTCAGTCTCCAAGCGACCATGCCAATATTGTTCTCGCCAGGTAGTCTCTTTTGTTCCACTAAGTTGTCACCTTCTAATACTAACTCTACGCAATCCATCACAGGATTTGGAATAGTAATATTGCATTGCGGCCTCTCCTCTATATATTTATGCCAGAACTTCTCGACCTGCTGTCGAAACATGTCCGGCAAGTCGTACACGTACGTTGTGCCAGAACTTTGCGCCAGGAACCGTTTCGCTTGAAGATAATCTTTGGTTAGATATGGCGTGGATATTGGAAGGCCGTGCATAGGGCCCGGCCTCCAAGTACCATTCGCCGTCGACGAGGGGTAAGATTCGAAACGAATGATACCAGTCTTTGGATCGGTTGCCTCCGTGTAAAGGTGTAAATCTATACTGTAACCGCTGTCGTTGGCAATGCACAAACGTATGATAGACGTTGGCTTGCCCGGTGCTGGCCGAATTGTCATTTTGATCTCAGCCTGGCGTACACGTAACTTCCATAATCTCGGGCCGTACCTCAGCACCATGCTGGTCACGCTTTCCTCTATTCTCACTGGATCCATAATGACCGTCGGTACGAAGTTCAGGAATATGTGATTGCATTCCGTACGCTTGGCAAGCGGATGCGAGAACGCGACCTCCAGTTCATCCATAGCCTCCAGTAGCACGCGTTCACCTTCGTTGTGAAGATAATCGAAGCTGGCCTCCTTCGTGATAAGATCGGAATGTCTTATGATAGAGCGAATGAAGAAACGATAATCGGTGACTTGTTGCCCCTTGGCGACCTTCGCCTGGCCAAGGTAAAGGTGCATCTTTTGATTGGAGGTCGGCAACGCTTCGAGATCGTAAGTTCTCATTCGGTTCAATTCCAGCTGGAAAGCGCAGCCAGGCTCCAGGTGTCGATAAATCTTGTCCTCGATGAAACCGTCCCTGTGGCGGTATGTGAAGAACTTCGGGAACTGCCTTTTCTTCAACACAGCGAACGTTATCCTTCTTATGTCCCGCGAGATTAATTCCTCTTTGTTCGCGGCGCACCAATCGCCAAAGAGTTTTGCCATCGCGGCGTCGTCCTGGTTCTCCTTCTCTTGGACGGCGATGCTCAGAATATGTACCGGCTCTGCGGGCCGTTCGCTCAGCTCCACCGCGCCGGTAGTATTTTCCGCGGTGCTCAGAGACACGTTTATGGACGTGCTGTGCCTCGACTCGCTTGCAGCTGCGTCCACCGCCTCTGCTAGAACTTTGGCTGACGCTGAGGTAACCGAGGACAAGTCTTCGAGGAGATCGAAGACCTCGTCGGAATAACGAACGAACTGATCCATGTCTTGGAAAGCTGCCATAGCTCCGGTCCTGTGATTCACCGACGACTGATTCTGTATATTTGGATGGTTGTTGGGCAAGAGGAACTGGAAGTGTACGAGTGGCACTTCGCCCGACAGCTCTAGGTGTTGCACGCAGGTTAACTCGTAACTGATGTAAGCTCTGCGAACGTAAACCTCCAGAGCAGCGTTGCAAACCGTACGATTGGAATGATAGAAGAAATCATGAAGAATATCGAAAATAGACGTCTCGGAAAGGATCAGTTTCTCCAGATTTTCTGGGTGGAAGTCGTGGCCGTACATGTCCACCGCCGACAAGAATATCGACTCCATTTGGTTGTGCCTTAATTCGTACGCAGGTTGATGAGCCGCGATCAAAACTTGCCTTGCGCGTAAAGCGACGCGACTATGCTCCGTACGATTCAAGCTTGTCAATTCCGTCAGCGTGCTCGACAATTCGTCCGTGAGACCTGGCTCATTCGCCCAGAGGTGGTCTATCAGCATGGTTACCAAAACGTTCTTCTTCGTCACTTGGTTGTGGCTAAAAATCATGGCGGTTATCATTGCCACGTCGTCCTTGTACTGATCTATCAAAGCTGACACGCATTTGTCGTAGTGCCCCTGTTGGAATTGGCTCTCAACGGTGTAGTACTGCCGGAGAAGTTCGTGAACAGCTGTCTTCATCCTTCCGCGTATTCCGTTCCTGTATCTTTGCACTAGTTGCACTATAGCTTGGGTAGTTAGGAAGAACACGTCGCGATCAGATCGTTTGGAAAGCGTCGCCGCGTGCCCATCGATCACAGCGGCGATTTGTTGACTAGGAAATTGAGCTAAAACAGAAGTTATATTCCTCTCGTACAGCGACATCAATTTTCTGATCTTCTTCTCCACGGAGATCGGGATTCTCCCCGATATCGTTGCGATCACCTCCTGTAGCTCGAGCAACGGCAAGCTAGGATCACGTAGGGAGTTCATGAACTTCTCAAGAAGTTCTCGTACCCGGGGCACGTGATACGGATCCGGCAAACAGTAACCGCCCAGAGTGTTCTCCAAAGCGGTTCTGTACTTGGCGTGAAGGTGATTCAACTTCTCGGAAATGGCCGGTGCTGCAGTTTCTGGAAATCTGCCAGTGTACTCTTGGGCTTTCGTCACCAGACTCGGATCGTCCAGTTCCAATTGAGCAATCAAGGTACCAGCCTCAAGAACAGCGCCCGGTCTCTTGACGTAGAAAACGCTGCCGGCCTCGCTCGCCGTTATTGTCATTACCATCTTCATGACCTCAATTTCTGCGTAGGCTTGTCCAGCGTTCACGTGGCCGCCATCGTCGACCAAATAGCTGATCAGTTTACCGGCTGACGGTGACCTCAACAACGAAGGATCGTTATCCTTCTCGAAGACGCAAGTTTGATTTCCAATGATAATCCTGTAACGATCGACCTCCTCCCTCATATAAGTCGTGAAACTTGCACCGTCCAGAGAGAGCAGCAATCCTCCATCGGACAGTCGGTGTACTTCTACCTCTTTGTAGGAACCGTTCATAACAAGGAAATAACTATTAGGGCCTGATTTGGCAGCCTGTATTTTATATTTGTATCCGTCGTTAATGAGCTCAACCTGAAACATTTGATTGCATCTGTCTGATATAACACGTTGTCTTCAATTGCAAAACGTTGTGTAGAAAGCTCAACTTACGTCGATAACATTGTCCAGATCGTTACTGGCTTGTATTTGACCTTTCTCCAACGCTGTTTGGAATCCAGTAAAGGCGGCAGTGATCGTTCTGTCGGCGATATGAAGCGCACCGCACGTCACGGCTAATAACACGTCCGGCTTGTCGCTTCGAACGCGTTCAGCAATCAATAGATCAAGCCAAGCAGTGTCTATGTTGTTCTGCTGGAAGGATTCAGTTTCTAACAGAGTGATCAGATATTCGACGGTAGTACGGAAATCACCCCTAATGCTCAGTTCTTTCAGAGCTATGACCAAGTTTTCACGAGCCTGATTACGATCCTCGCCCCAAGAGAAGCAATGACCAAACTGCGAATCCGCAAACTCGTGGAGACCGCCGGAGGCTCCCACCGAAAAATAACCCCAAACGTTCTTCGAGGACCGGAAGTTCAGTTCTTGCACAGTACCCGAACTCGGTTTGAAACCTGAAACGTGAAAGTACAATTAAAATTGATGACAAAAGATATCAAATATGATCGTCAAATGTATTTTTCTTTTTTTTCCCCCCGATGAAGTGTAACGTACCCTCGTCAGGATTCTCACTGGTGATTCTCGCTGCTATCACATGACCCCACGGTTGAGGCTTGTGTCGCGGTTGATCGAAATCAATGACGCTGTCTCCCCACGGACTTTCGCCGTAAAGAAGCCGAATATCCTTAATATGATGCAACGGCAGCCCCATGGCAATTTGAAGCTGTGCCGCGGGCAAATTAACATCGGACACCATCTCGGTGCACGGATGCTCCACTTGGAGGCGTGGATTCAATTCCAAAAAGTAATATCGCCCGGACGTGTCGTAAAGATATTCGACAGTGCCTGCGCTGACATATCCAACCATTTTGGCCAATCTCACAGCAGCCTATCAATCGAACAACGAAACAACGTGTGAAAAATACTTGCACGAGATATTGTAAAAATTACAAATTCACAATTTACAAATTTTCTCATTTGGAAAGTGAAGCATTCCTCACTCTTGACGCGAACATAATTGATAATTACTTTTTCCATCTCTTCGAAGACTTCGGGTTTGGCAATCACAGCAGGCGCCTCTTCGATGATCTTCTGATGTCTCCTCTGGATAGAGCAGTCACGGCCAAATAACGATATCGCGTTACCGTAATTGTCGGCTAATAATTGAACTTCCAAATGGCGAGCGCATTTTGCCAATTTCATAATGAATATCGGGGATCCAGGTATCTCAGTTTGTACCTGCCTGAAGAGAATCGTCGACAATTCTTAGTAGAGAGAAACTCTTAACACTGTATGTCGCATGAGTATTCTTTGTTGTGTAACATTCGCCATAACGAAGTGTTTCCAACAATTTTTCAAGCACCATTTGCACAAGTTCCCTTCTTACCTAAACAACGCAGGTAGTTCTTCAGCGTTCTCCACCTTTCTGATACCTTTCCCACCACCTCCCTCACTAGCTTTCACCATTATTGGGAAGCCTATTTTATTAGCCGCTGCCAGACACTCCTCCACCGTCGAAACGCAGCCTTTTTTGAAAAGCTCCGATGATATTTTTATCTTTTTCCCGCTGTACTGTGCCTTTAATTCTGAGCCTGACCAGGGCAGTGTTGGTACGTCTGCCGTTTGCGCTACTATGCTGGATGCGATTTTATCCCCAAGAGCCCACATTGCTCTCTCGGATGGTCCTGAGGAACAATTATTATTATTATTAGACAAAGTTAAGATAAAATATTCATGGATCTAATTAATCACTGATCATTATTAACAAAATCATCTTGGACTTAATTCACCAGTAACAATATTCTTGGACTCCTAATTTATCACTAAA